TGGTGATTGAAATATTATAACCCCGCTCCTGCTTAACAAACATGGCTTGTTTGCTAAGACGCTCATTTCGGTCGAGTTTTATTATCCCTTGGCCCCTTATCGCGTCCTACCATCCCCACTGGCTGGGGCTGGGACCGGCTCTTCCAACTCCTGGCCCGTTCTAACCGGCTCCTGGGAGAGTGGGAATGGATAGGTTGATTTCTAGCCGGTCCTTGCTCTCCTTGGTTAAATGGTCGCACTGGCCGATCAAAGCCGGATATTTGACCGTCAAAACTGGCTTATAGTTCAGTCTAGCGGATTTTTTGTCGTTCTGGACGTTTGCTGCTGGTTTGTGGACGTTGCCCCTCGCCCTGGCCGGATGGAATATATCCCACCACCTGAAGTCTCCAACTTGTTCTAGCCGACCAATTCAACAAATTTCCATTCGTCGTTCGAGCTGAGGTAGTCTAGTGTCATACTAATCCAATCAATTCTAAATTAGCAAAAAATACATCGATCTCAACTTAGCCAAACTAGCCTTAACTAGCACAAGTTCAGTAGGAGCAATCCTGACATAGGCGTGCTAGGGAAAGTCGTGATGCAGCCGCGATAGGGAAAAAAATCTTGATATAGGCGTTACTGTCGCCATCGGTAATAATTGATCCTAAACTCTCCCGACCTGTCACGCGCTCTCTTGGTAATTTGCTGCCGTCTCGCGAGGGTTTATATTGTTTCTGTAATATCTCTTGTCAAGTCTTGCTAATTATATAGAATTTGGTGCAATTATTGTTTAGGGAGAAACCCCCTAGACATGATTAGAATTTGATGAATTAGGTGTTTCGTTAAATTGTGTTTTTTTTTTTTAAGGGAAGTGGTTGGGTGTGTGTTTATATGTACTTGACTAATTGAGTTTGAGTGGGTTGAGCTTCAGCTCGTTGGTCATGGCTTTCAACTGTCAGTCAACTGATGTACAGGTTCCTGAGCCTACTGAGTTCTATTATGCTATCCTTTTAAACTGTATAAGGCGTCTGCCTGTACCACATCACTTCTAGTATTCCATTTCTTCACTGTTGTGACACTGAAAAAATTATTTCTCCGTCTATGAAACTTTTGGATACTCGGGTTCCACCTGTCTCTTCCTTATTGCTCTCCGCTAATAAAACCTCCAATATCTCACTAATGATCTCTGCTTCACGTCCGATAGGTTTTCTCTCATCTAATTAACAATTAACATTTTCTCCCATTTGCTTCTCGTGCTTATGTAGGAGCCTACTTATCGGAACAGTGTCGAAGACTTCCTGACAATCTAGAAAAGTAGTAGTAAGTCCATTCTCCTAAGTAGTTATTGTCATCTTGTCACAAAACTCCAGAAGGTTTGCCAGACATGACTTTCCTTGTGTTTTGATGCTATAAAATCAGTAAATGGGTGATGATGTTATAGTTCGTTCCTATAAATGACTCGAGGACCTTGTTTGTCATAGCCTGAAGATTAGTGCCCCCTTATCTTTACCTAATTATAAATATCTATTGAGTGCAATACCAAAGGCCAGCAATCAAATTTGTTTTCTCTTTGATGGATAATGCCAATATGAGGAAGCACCTATTTTCTGCCTCGGTGTTGTTGACCTCCCAGTGAGCGTTTCCTGCTTCCTTAGACAGTGTAACCTGCCTCATGAGCGGCTTTGTTTAGCGATGCGTGCACTGAGCAGCACGTATTGTGGGTAATAGTTACATAGTTAATAGTGATGCTAGGTGTCGTAGTCTATAGGAGTTACAGAACTTGTCTTGTGTTACTCAACATTTCTCAGTTTGTTAAATTTTCGTACCGGATTTTAGTTGTACATGATACTTAATATTGTATCTATATTCCATGTTAGCGGGAAGAGAAGGGGTTGGGGGATACTTGTACTGTTTTCAATATTTCTGAAAAAAAAGATAAAGTAGGTAATTTCGTTATTAATAGCGGATAGAAGTGTCATAAACTGAAATATATCTGGATCAAATGTATGATGAGATGCCATTTAGTGAGGATGACGCCTTAGCCATGTCGTTTTCCAAAACAAAAAGTCCTGGCTAAGGCGTCATTCCGTCTACTACTGCCTTGAACGGTCGCACGCGTTAGGGGAAGGTCTAGCTCATCCTGGCACTGTTGGGGTATCGTGGCGTTGGATAACCTTTCTAGTCCAGCCAACCACGGTGATCTGGAGCTCCTGGCCTGGCACCCGTGCCAGTCAGGGTGGCACAGGTACATGGCTGCAGCGCCACGGAGCAGGGGGTCGCCATGACGACCACGAGTGCCTGGCCATGGGTGTGGAGGGAGGGTACGGACGGGCGCGTACACTCCTGTGTACGTACATATGCACGCGTGCATAAAACAAACACACACACACACACACACACACACAACGGGGGCGGTATACATGTAAGAGGACAGAGCCACCTTCAAGAAATATCAGCTCCTATTGCGACATGTGCAATTTTCATTACGTGAAATTGGGGATTTGTTTTACTTTGTCTTTTTAGTAGTTTTTCAGGAGAGATGATGATGGAAAGGGAAGAAAAGAAGAGGGAGAAAGACTCAGAAGAGGTGGCGAGAGAGAGAGAGAGAGAGAGAGGTAGCGAGAGAGAGAGGGGCGATAGATTTGGAGAAGAGGAGGATTAAGAAACCCAGGCACAACCTGGGTACTCCATTTAATATTTAATATCCGAACAAAAAATCTAATTTTGAGTACATACCCATTTAAGTGGAATGTGTTTCTGATCCGGCCGCAGCAGCTTGAAGCCCAGCATGAAGACGAGCTGAACTCTGATACCATGTAATATGTTTTCGATCCAACATGACATGTTGGACGGTGGTGTAGACGACAGGTGCAGGAGAGGATGAATGCGGATATAATCCGTATACGTGCTTAAATATTTTGATGTGAAGTAATTAATTTATCTGTTTTATCGTGTAGAATATAGGCATGCCCCCAGAGGATGGGAGGGAGGGGGCTGAATACATTCTCTCTCTCTCTCTCTCTCTCTCTCTCTCTCTCTCTCTCTCTCTCTCTCTCTCTCTCTCTCTCTCTCTCTCTCTCTCTCTCTCTCTCTCTCTCTCTCTCTCTCTCTTTCTTTTACTACTGACTTTAATACTTAATACATTTAATAATACTAACGGAACATTTGAGAGCCGAGTTTCTCTCCATCTCTGTATCAATCAGACCGAACAATAGAGACATGATTGGGACATAGGTGATACACATTGTACACACAGGGCCAAGAATGTGATGGTCAGGTAAAAATAAAAACAAAAGACAAGGAGGTAAAGCGGTAACAAAAATAAAGAAATAACTAGTAAAGTTTCAAGTTACGGGTTCAAAGTTTTGAGGTTATGTTTAAACTTCCATGAACGCTTTGAGTGGATGGATATTAGATCACTTTCTAAACAGACGAACGCGCACGAAATACGGCTGGAAGATGCGCATCTTGTTTCATGTTCAACCATGGGTGGGATGAAACACAGCCTCAGTTCTCTCTTTCATATCCATTTTGCTCTGGTAGCGGGCTATCGATCCATTCACGGCAGGACTACCACCACTGGTCTCCGTCTCTCCCATTGATATGTGTCTGCCTCTCTCTCTCTCTCTCTCTCTCTCTCTCTCTCTCTCTCTCTCTCTCTCTCTCTCTCTCTCTCTCTCTCTCTCTCTCTCTCTCTCTCTCTCTCTCTTTCTCTCTTTCTGTCACTCTCCCTGTCTCTCTCTCTGTCACTCTCCCTGTCCTGTCTCTCTCTCTGTCTCTCTTTACACTCTACTCTCTCTACACTCTACTCTCTCTACACTCTACTCTCTCTACACTCTACTCTCTACTCTCTCTCTACTCTCTCTACACTCTCTCTACACTCTCTCTCTACTCTCTCTCTCTACTCTCTCTCTCCCCCCCCGTTCCCTCCATATCTGTTGTCTTCCCCTCAAAGGGTCCGGGGATCAATGTCCCCGCGGCCCGGTGCCTGACCCGATCTTCTGGTTAGTGGTTTTGTCAGCTTGTCAGCTCACAATCTGACGTAGCAGTCACAGCCCAGTTGATCAGGTATCCTTTCAAAGTGTTTATCAAGTTCTCTCTCGAACACCGTGAAGGGTCGGCTAATTATGCCCCTTATGTTTAGAGGGGGAGCGTTGAAAAGTCTTGGGACCCCTTGATGTTGGTAGATTTGTGTCTCTGCATACCAATGGCACCTTTGCTTTTCAAAGGGGTTATTTTGCACTTCCTGCCATACTTCCTGGTCTTATTTGAAGTGATTTCAATGCGCATATTGGACCCAGTCCCTCTAATATTTTCCCAAGTGTAAATTATTATGTATTTCGTTAGTGTCTCTCTCATGCACTATGCCCCTCCCCCTCACTAATGCACTATGCCCCTCCCCCTCACTCATGCACTCTGCCCCCCTCACTCATCCACTCTGCCCCCTCTCACTCATCCACTCTGCCCCCCCCTCACTCATCCACTCTGCCCCCCCTCACTCATCCACTCTGCCCCCCCCCCTCACTCATCCACTCTGCCCCCCCTCACTCATCCACTCTGCCCCCTCTCACTCATCCACTCTGCCCCCTCTCACTCATCCACTCTGCCCCCTCTCACTCATCCACTCTGCCCCCTCTCACTCATCCACTCTGCCCCCTCTCACTCATCCACTCTGCCCCCTCTCACTCATCCACTCTGCCCCCTCTCACTCATCCACTCTGCCCCCTCTCACTCATCCACTCTGCCCCCTCTCACTCATCCACTCTGCCCCCTCCCCTCACTCATCCACTCTGCCCCCCCTCACTCATCCACTCTGCCCCCCCCCCTCACTCATCCACTCTGCCCCCTCTCACTCATCCACTCTGCCCCCCCCCCTCACTCATCCACTCTGCCCCCTCTCACTCATCCACTCTGCCCCCCCTCACTCATCCACTCTGCCCCCCCTCACTCATCCACTCTGCCCCCTCTCACTCATCCACTCTGCCCCCTCTCACTCATCCCCTCTTCTCTTGTGCCAACAGTTGCGTACGGGCAGGAGCGGGACCGCAAGCGGGGAGCGAAGATAGGGCCGCTCCGGACTCTCCAGCACAACGTCGCTGGCACCGTGTTTGCTGTCGACGAGGACAAGCTCTACATAGAGAACTTCACCTACGATGGCGTCGGTCCTGGTGAGTACTTAAGTGACGCTCCCTTGGACATGCAACAATGTTATGACCTTGCTAGGTCTGAGCACCTTAGACACACGTCTTAAACCTTGATCGCCAGAAACTTTAACTGAGCGACTGAACAATGTTATCAGTGATGCAACCCTCCCCTCCCCAGCAAGCTATTGTACAATGTCGTTTGCCATTGTTCTCTTCAGTTAAGACCTTGGATATCGTATCGAGGACTGTAATTCCTCGATACAGTTTCTCATGATGGTTCTTTGATGCTAGAAAAAGGCTTTCAAGGTCAAGCATCCCCCCCCCCTTCTTGAAGTAGATCTTGACAAGACAGCGCCCTGTGAGATTCCTAAAGCACTTGGCAGCTCTCACACCTGAGTTCAGAGTGTGTAGCGATTAACAATCTTGTCAGTGATCTACTGAAATGTTGACCAAACCACACACTAGAAATTGAAGAGACGACGACGTTTCGACTTGATAATTGTCCAGGACGGAGCGAAACGTCGTCGTCTCTTCAATTTCTAGTGTGTGGTTTGGTCAACATTTTTCAGCCACGTTATTGTGACTTTTCATCTGCTTCTACTGAAATCATAACTAACTTCTCATCCATACAAGCGTGACTGGGGCATGATGCCGATTTTATTTCCTCGGGTCCCTATGCCTGGCTTGCATTGGTAGCGTTTAAATCTGTTGTGCTCCGATTGGTTCTCTTAAATCAAGCTCTTCCTGATTGGACCATTTTCGATTTCAAAACTCTCTAGGATTTTTGTCAAAAGTTGCCCGGGAACCACCACCATCTCTGCTGATCTCAACGGGTCTCTCCATTATTCCCGAGGCCTTTTTCCCATGTGGATTTGATCTGGAGTATTGTCTTTGCCTTTACGGCTCCGGCGGCTAGAAAATTCCTTGTTTCTTATTCAATAATCGAAAAAAGTGTCTCGTGCTGTCTGTTGTACACAGCGGCGTGTTGACCTTGAAGCAGTCGTCCCTTGTGAACACTGTAGTGGACCTTGAAGCAGTCGTCCCTTGTGAACACTGTAGTGGACCCTGAAGCAGTCGCTCCTTGTGAACACTGTAGTGGACCCTGAAGCAGTCGTCCCTTGTGAACACTGTAGTGGACCCTGAAGCAGTCGTCCCTTGTGAACACTGTAGTGGACCCTGAAGCAGTCGTCCCTTGTGAACACTCAAGTGGACCTTGAAGCATTCGCTCCTTGTGAACACTGTAATGGATCTTTAATGAAGTTGTCTGGAGTGTCTGTTTTGTGTACAGTTTTAAAGGTCTCGATGAGACCAATCTCGTGGTGTCTCTTCTGTCTTCTCTGGTTGTTATCTTCTGCTGCTGCTGCTCTCCTCCTACCGTCTGCTGCTGCTGCTCTCCTACCATCTGCTGCTGCTCTTCTACTTTCTGCTGCTGCTGCATTTTTACCTCCTGCTGGTTTTGCTGTTCTTCCCTCCTTCATCTGTTCTGTCATTTCTCTACAGTTCCACTCGCCATTAACTCTTAGCGCCACTTTCAACAGTCCTTTCCCACTTTCCCCCCCACCCCCCCCCCTCCACCCATCCCATGCACCTTGTCCTTCCTGCTCCTGAGAAGGAGGGATGGGAGGTGGGAGAGGGGGGTGGAGGGGTACTCGGAAGAGGCACTGGTGCGCTTTGTGTCTGAACCTTTTGTGATGGACTCGAGTCGAGGCTCACTTGCTCGAGGTGCTGTTCCTGCTCCTCCTCCTTGGTGCTGTCGCTGCAGGTGCTGTCGCTGCAGGTGCTGTCGCTGCAGGTGCTGTCGCTGATACATGCAGACTTGCTGATGCACAGTGGTGTTGAGTTAGAGTTAAGTTAGACTTAATCAAGCCTCATGTAAGAGCTTCCCTGACTGATGTAGCTGGGTCAGGGTTTTTTAAACCCACTGGTTTAGTGTTGGGTTTAAAGTCCGTCATCCACAGGAGGGTTATTAAGGCCACTACAAGGGCTTATTGACCAACCAGTATGTATACTTTAGTCCTGATCATAGTCCAGGACTAAATTAGATCTCTGAAATGTGTATATGTACATACCGTGAGGCGAGGGACGTCGTCCGATGTATATAACATGTCACTACTTTTACTTATTGCTTTCTGACCTGGCTATTAGATATACTTTAATTCTGGACAATGTCCAGGACACTGGACACTGTGTATATACTGTATATACACTGTGTATATAAGCTCTGTGTATATACAATGAGAAGCTGGATACACCTTTGATTTGTTAGAACTACATTAAGATAAAATATTAAAGTAAACGACAATTCTGCCCAGAATCTGTTATAGTGCGAGACTTCAGTTAAATGTTAATACCGAGTAGTCGTTTTTGCATTGATTTCAGTACTATAATTTACAATTGTTCCCACAGTTATAAATCCATTATAGGTATACAAAATAATATTACACTATGATCTGTGAACTCGAACACTTTTATTGATGGGTAAGGTCTGCCTCGTGTATGAGGTAAAGTGTGTGTGTATACACCTAGAAATAGGGTACACTTCTCTTGTTGATAAATGAATGTGTTTATGAATGTGTGAACACATATACATGCAGCTGCAACATTGGCTACAGACCCAAATATCATGTCTAGCTTTAAGAACGAAGGCTCTCCGAACGCCCTCTTTAATGAATAAACCTACACCACAAGTGTAGTGTAGTGCCCTCTTTAAGCAATTGAAAAATAGTCAGTCAGTCAGTCGCCAAAAGAACTGTTGCTGAACACGGATCACTCTGAACATTTACATCGATCTCAAGCTGCTATATGTTAAGGTCTGTACAAGTTTAGTTAATGATGTCGCGGAAGGTCTGTTATATAATGTGACATAGTTTTTGTTTACTTAAGTTGTAAGACCTAATTGCTAGAACTTAGACGCATCGGATTATGAAGTATTCAGACATTTAAACTTTTTGTGGCTTAAATACATGGTTTTAAATTGAATGTAATTCGCATTGTAAGAATCATTAGCTACAATGAATTCTAGTTTGTGTTATATTAAATCAATAGTTATAGATATATGTTGAGTGGAACATTTGGGAAAATTTGTAAAATGCCAGATGGAAGAATGTTTAGGGAGGAGATAAGAAGTGACATCTCTGCTTTACTTAGTAAAGACAAGTTTAAAACTACACGGAAGAGTGGAGATCATCAGAGGACTCTGTAACAAGGCGGCCCCATTGAATCCACGCAACAGAAACCTGCACACACACACACACACACACACACACACACACACACACACACACACACACACACACGCACGCACGCACACGCACGAGTACAAGAAGTCTACCATGGTCTAACCTTTAAAAATCTCTCATACAAGGGGACCGAGACTATGAACCTCTTCCTTCGTAATCAGACTAATGGAGTAGAAAGATAGAATTTAAATCACGGTGGGATGGGGGGAGAGGGAGGCTGGTCTCTAACGGTTATTGCAAATCCGTTACAAGGGAGGAGTGGTTTTGGCGCGCGCGGGAAGAGAGGGGGAGGAGATTGGGCCGGACACGGTGTAAGGATTTGCTATTTGGCGGTGTTGTCTTCATGGATATTGTAAGGCCTTGTCGATATCTTTATGGGTGCTCTAAAGAGCTCTTCGTGTCTTTAAGGATGCTGTAATGACTACTCATTGACTTTACGGATGCTGTAAGCGGTTATCCTAGTCTTGACGGATGCTGTAAGGGGTTATCCTAGTCTTGACAGATGCTGTAAGGGGTTATCCTACTCTTGACGGATGCTGTAACGAGTTATCCTACTCTTGACGGATACTGTAAGGGGTTATCCTAGTCTTGACGGATGCTGTAAGGGGTTATCCTAGTCTTGACGGATGCTGTAAAGAGTTATCCTACTCTTGGCGGATGCTGTAACGAGTTATCCTAGACTTGACGGATGCTGTAAGGGAATGTCCTTCCCGGTGTTATAAGAGCTTTGTCGTTTAACTGATTTGAGAAGAGGGAGGAAGGGGGAGTCTTCAGGCTGGACTCATTAAAGAGTTTGGTGATTAACTTAGCCAGTGGGGCGCAGTTATGGCGGGAAGCTGACAAAAGTAGCAGATAATGCGCCTTTGGGGTTCGCTCAGGGGTCTTCAACCATCGATCATCTGCCTTACGCGTCTGGGAGGAGAAGGATGTTAAGCCACTTGGTGTTCGTTAGGACGAGTGGGAGTATGCGATTCCGATGCGTCTCTGGGCCTTACGAGCAGGTACTCCGACATGCCGTTACCCTCTGCATTCGCCTTGCAGTTTGAAGTGAAAATAAGAGTGAAATCGATGGAATGAAGTGAAAGTAGAACATATGTGGTGTGGACGCCTTCCCCCACTCCGGGAAAATCCTGTTTTGGGACTTTCTGAAACAGGGATTACACCGGGAACCTCAGATTTCAGGTATGAGAAGAGGGTGGAAAAATTATCCCAGAAGGAAGAAACTCCTTTGAAAGGGGCGCGCGTCTCAGCGATGTATTTGGAGTAATAAAAATATGATATTTTAGGGTTGTTGGATCCCGGATGAAAAGTTGTATCTGAGGAGGATTGGACCAATCTGACAGTGTGCTCGTGAACACTGGATTAGGACTGGATCCGACTGGAACTATGAGCGAATTATTCCATCTTTTCCACATTCACAAATTCTCTTTACTTGTCCTCTTCCTCTTCCTTCCGCAGTCCCTTCTTCCATCCCCTCCCTGCCGTTTCCAAACCTTTATCTCCCCTCCCTCCCTCTCCCTTCCCTCCCTTCCCTCCCTCAACCCTCCCTCACCCTCCATCTCTCTCCCTCCTCACCCCGAGTGTGATCGGCTTATCGGATGTCGTCGGTCCAATAATAAAGTTCAAGCGATATAATCCCTTAATTTACAACCTCATAAGGGTGTTGATGGACTTGGGAAGTGAGGCTGGTGGATCATTTCGAGCTCTCCTCAACTCGCGCACTCAACGCTGAGTGCAGCACTGTGAGCACTCCCTGCTGAGTGCATCACTGTGATGCCCTGCCAT